ATTCCTGCTCGCCTTTGTTCTTTGCGCTCTCCCTTGCCTCTGCCTTGCACACAGGAGATGCCCTTCTAAAGAAGTAAATTACCTTCCTGAGAAACTTTTGACTGAGTGTTTGTTTCCACTTTGTGGCACCAAGCACTTTTATCTGCAACAAGTGGACCTTCATTTAAGCAACCTTGCTTAAATTTTGGGCTTCAAAATTCTCCCACCAGAGTATGTGTACTTTAGAGAAATAATTCACCATAGCCCAGCAGTGGCCAGTCTTCCCAGTCAAAGCCTCTGAGGAAGAGGGAGGAGAGAGTAAGAGCTGCCTAGAGGCAGCAGGAACCCCCTACCCTGTTCATTCTGACTTGGCCTCGGGTAAACAGTCACATGTAGTATGCCTGGTCGTACATGTCCCATTACGCTAGCTGTTTTGCCTCTAATTGATGGTATTTTGCATTTTGGGCCCAATATTCTCTCATAAAAGTATATTGGTTTTACAATGAAAGGGGGGCAAAATGCTACAATCAGGAATAAAATGGGACACCCAATTCACAGAGTGTCTGGCTAGGGTCTGTTTGTCAATGTGCCCACCTGAAAAGAAGCAGTCTAATCAAGATCACAACAATTCACCCCTGATTTGCTGTTTGGGGGCAACCATGAGATAAGGCAGGAAATCTCAGCCTCATTCACAATGAAGAGATGAGTGTTAGTGACTTCTCAGTAGTTACCCCATCTGAAAGCTGTTCATCCCAGATAAGGTCAAGTGATCATACAGCCTTATTTCTCCCAGCCTGTTAACTTTTCCAGGCCAGAGTGTGTCTGACTCTGCAGACAGATTTAAATACACTGCAGACCTCACAGCCATATCACCAGCATTTTTAGGTGCTGAGAGTTCACACTCCTCTGCCTGGGTGCCTGCTGGGAGGATTCTGAGTTCCAGATGGGCTTGGAGGGCCCAGCTTCCTGATGTGACAGAGACTGCAGAGACACAGTTTAAATGTGCGGTTAAGAACCCATCTCTGACGCTGGCCTAGCTCTACTGATGGTGGGCACCTCAGCTGTGCTTCAGTTTCTCCTACGCTGTCATGAAAATTAAATGAGTTAACTTAAAAGGATTTTGCATACTGTGCAGTAGAGAGTAAGGGCTACGGATGGTCGACTGTCATTACCACCAGGGCTCATGTCTTCTAAGCACCTCTCTCTACATTAATAAGCAGGTTTTATCCCTGTAGGATTGTTAGAAGTAATGTTATGTGAAATGGGCAATGCCTTAGCTCTCCAAAAATCACAGAGCTGTCAGTCTGTTTGTTAGTTCTGCAAAATTCTGAACCTGCCTTTTAATAAACTGGAGGCATAATCCAAACCTACTGGGCTTGCCATTTCCTGTCACAATATCAAGGGAACCCAGGTGATCTGCTGGGCAGGAGCTTCAGCTAGACAGAGTGTTAGGACCTGATCGCAAAAGGTGGCCATTAGTGGACAGCAAATCAAACTCACCATTTAACCATGATCTGGTCAGTGCCCATGCTGTATAGAGGGCAGGTTTGAGGAATGGGGTCGGCTATGTGGGAGGAGACTTGCTACCTCCAGTGACCCCCTAAAGAACCTCCAAGTCCACCTCCTTTGACCCCTCTCTTCGTTCTTCTTTGACAACCGAAACAAGCATCAGTAACAACCATAAACCCCATGCAACACACAGAAAATGTGAGCTCACACCAGGTGGGGAAAACAGCAGAGATGCCCTCCTCCCCAGGTAAGGTGGGCGCTATGGCCGGGGGAGTGGGGGAGCAGAGTAGGTGAATCCAGTTTGAGAAACAGAGCCAGGCTTTGTCTCAAAAAAAAAAAAAGAGAAAGAAAAAAATGAAATGAAAAAGAAGGAGAGGAGGAAGAAAGAATAAAGACTGAAAGAAGAAAAGGTGGAAGGAATGAAGGAAGGAGGGAGGAAAGAAAGGGCAGAAGAAAAAGATAAATTCCTTTATGTGGCCACTTGATAGGACATCAGAATTCAAATAGAGAAGGAAAACATAAAAGCTGCCCTGCACAAAGAGTCACAGGGACGGGTAAAACACCCTTGTCTCCTCTAAAATGCATGATTCATTGCTGTTACTGCAAATGTGTGTGCTGTGTCCACTCACAGATAAGCAGGATATATTTGCATGATTTAAATGTCACCTAGATCTTGTGAATAATAAACTGTGAGCCATTCCACAGGATCTGAATCATGTTCCCTGGAAACCATTCCTTCACGAGCTAAGCCCCCATGTCAGGTTCTGAAATTCTCAGAGCCTGTGACTTCTTATTGCTCTGTCCCATTACTCCAGAAAGTAGCAGGGTAAAAATAAACTATGCCCTCTTCCTCAACAGCTTTCAAATACTTCCAGTACATGATATCCCCTCATCATCATATCAAAGGAGTTAGACCTAGCCCCTTCCCCCAGGGAATGTTAACATCCAGCATTGTCATGAAAGAGGCATGACAATAAACATCTGGGACTGATAACTGAATAAAGTAGTTACAAATGGGTAGTTGAAAATGATGACTTTTTCTAAGTAGCAGTCACTGAAATTTGATTACTGTTTTATGATTTTCAAGAGACTTAGACATATATTATCTTCATTATGTATGTGCTGGGGAAAGACTTCTCCCCCTTGTATTCCTAGAGCTCGTTATCCAAAGCTAGGATTCACACATTTAGCAGGTATTTATTGAGTTGCTACTATGTGCCTGACTTTATTCTAGGAACTTGGAAGTATAGCAGTAGACACAGGAGACAAAGTCTCTGTCTTCATGGTATCTGCAGACTAGTGGAAAGAGGTAGAAAATAAAAATAAATAAAATATGCAAAATATCTGATAAAAAGCAATGGAGAGAGTAGGTGGGATGGGAGAGGAGGGGTCTTGAGATTTTGGATAGGGGTAGGTATTCAGGAAATGCCTTATAAGAAAGGAATATATGAGCAAAGATGTGAAGGAAGTAGAGGAGGAAGACACACTGCTACACAGTAGGAAAAGCAGGTGAAGGACAGCAGAAGCAGACCGTGGAACGATTTTGGAGGCGATTGCAATGACCCAAGCTGGACCTGTAGATGACTTGGACAAAAAGGTAGCAATGGAGTTGGCAAGAAGTGATGGGAGTCTGGATTTATTTTGAAGGTAGAATAGGTGAGATTTGCCACAGGAGGGGATGTGGGTTATAAAAGAAATAGAGGCAGGAAAATTGTTTGAACCCAGAGGCAAAGGTTGCAGTGAGCCAAGATTGCGCCACTGCACTGTAGCCTGGAAACAAAAACTCCATCAGAAAAGAAGGAAGGAAGGAAGGAAGGAAGGAAGGAAGGAAGGAAGGAAAGAATGGAGGGAGGGAGGGAGAGTGGAGTCCAAGAGTCCAAGATGACTCTAAGGTTTTAGGCCTGAGTTATTTGAAGCTTGGCAAGGACTTCGGCAAAGCATTTTAAATTGGAGAAGGCCATGACTCTTGTCGCATAGTAACACTCTCAGGATTAGGGTTGTGGAAGAGGGACAGGTTGAAACCCAATTCTGGGGACGAATTCCCACCTTCTTCACCTATAGGCACCAGAGACATCCTAACACCCCAATTTCATCTCATCCCATCCCCCTTTTTCAGTGGTCATTGATATTTAAAAAAATACTTAGTACAATTTATAATTAGGTATATATAATTTACATCCAATTAAATGCAGAAATGTTAAATCCCTAATGCAAAGAATTTTAACATTCATATACACCTGTGACACCACTGCCCCATACCAGATGTAAAATACTGCCTTAATCACAGAAAGTTCCTTCCTGTTCCATGGAATCACACTGTGTGCACGCTCTTGTGTCTGGCTTATCAGCCTTGACTTAATGATTTTGAGAATCATTCCTATTGTTGCATGTATCAGTAGTCCTTTCCTCTCATTGCTGAGTAGTATTCCATGTTTGAATAAATCACAATCTGCCTGTCCTTTCATGTATCCATAGGCATTTGGGCTATTTCCTGTTTGGGTCTATTATAAATGTAGTTGCTGTAAACTTCTAGCCCTTTTGATGGCATATGTTTTCATTTCTCTCGGGAAAATACCTAGGAGTCGAAATGCCAGTTCATGCTTTAAGTACACATTTAGCTTTGTAACAAAGTTCCAAATAGTTTTCCAAACTGCTTGAACCATTTTCCATTCCCACCAGCAATGTATGTGTTGCTGTACCTCCTCCCCAAGGTTTAGTGCTGCCAGTTGCTCTTGTGGATGGGTGGTAGTATCTTACTGTGGCTTTAATTTGTATTTCTAATTTGTAATTAGCATTTTGACTACTATAACAACATTGAGTACTTTTCATATGTCTATTTGTCATTCATATATCTTCTTTAGTGAAATGTTCGTTCAAATAATTTCCCAATGTGTTAATTGGGTTTTCTTTTTATTATTGATTTATATAAAAATTTTATATACTTTGAAGATGAGTCCCTTGTCAAATATATGTACTGTGAATATTTTATCTGTCTGGGGATTATCTGTACATTCTTTTTTATTAACATTTATTTTGAAGTAATTTAAGACTTCCAGAAATAGAAAGTAAAATAAGACTTGCAAAAATAATCCAAATAATTTCCAAATGCCTTTCAGTCAGAACCCATAAATACTAACATTTTACCACGTTGGCTTTGTGAGTTTCATTGTTTCTGTCTTTCACAGACACACACACACACACACACACACACACACACAATTTTTTTCTGAACAGTTTGAGACTAAGTGACAGAGATGATGTCCCTTTATCTCGAATACTTTGAGTATTTTCTCAAAACAAGGACATTCTCTTACTGAGCCATAGTACAATGATCAAAATCAGTGCATTAATACGAATATATTATTATCTAATCTGCAGACCTTGTTCAAAATTCATCAACTGTCCCTCAGTGTCCTTTATAGAAAAACAATTGCTAAGGCCAGGGATCCAAACCAAGACCACGCATGCATTTAGTTTTTATTTATCTTTAGTCTCTTTTTTTTTTTTTTTGAATAGCAAATAGTGTATTGGTAAGTACATGGTTTCAATGGGAGTAATAAATTCACATGAACAGGAGACAATAATCAAGTCAAAAGAATAAATGCTTACTAATTATCAGAAAATCTGCGGCCATTAGGGCTGGCACGTAAAAATCCAAAATCACTCAGAGGCCAAATCTTAAAGAAAATTCATCCTCTTATTAGAATCCATACAGAATAGGTCCACAGTACCTGGAATTTGTAGAATTCTGTAGATTATCACCTGCTAACCAAACATGATCCACTGGCACATAACTATGGCTTTTAAATAAATTTGATGGTCCAGTAGTGAGGATTTTGTCTCCTTCCAAACCGATTACTCTTTTACAGATATTTGATTTTGGATCACTTGGGCTTTTTGCAATCACCGTGTCACCTCTTTGGATACCATAACAATGTCGACTAAGGTTTTCTGCAAAGTCAATATTTGAATTTTGAATTGTAGGCTCCATTGATGGTCCAGAACACATGACAACCCCACCAACGTATTCAAAAGCACAATGAGCTATACAGGCCATGCTGAATAGTATAGCCAACGAGTTGAAATGTTTTCCCTAGAACATCAAGAAGCATAGTTCTTTGTAGATTCTGCCACCATTGGCCATAGGTCTATTCTATAATTCATTCAATTTTTAGGGAAGTCGCAGGACTTCCAGGGAAAAAAAGATGCTTGTCTCAAAGTGTATGTGCGTGATCCATTGAATCTGGAACAGTTTGTCAATCAGTCAATCAGTCCATCCATCCATCCACTCATCTATCCATCAGTTACTCACTTATTGTCTTTCACAACTTTGACACTTTTGAGGAGTACATAGCATTTATCTTGTAGACTGTTCTGTTCATTTTCTTTATGGTATATTTTGATGAGAAGAAATTTTTATTTCTATTAAGTGTAATTCATTGGGAGTTTATGGGGTTAGTGCAAGTGTAATTCATTGGGAGTTTTTGGGGTTAGTCCATTTTGTGTCCTACATTAGAGAATTCTGCCTACTCTAAACTCAGGAAAAGATTCTGGATTTTTGTGTCTAGAGTGTCAGGGTAGTCACCTTTATACTTAGGTCTATCTATCACGCATTTTCAATTAATTTTTTATGTGGAGTGAGACAGAGATTGAGATTCATCTTTATTTATCATATCCAGTTCTTTCAGCACCATTTCTTTTTTGTTAATCAATGAGAGCTTGTTATGTTGCTCAGGTTGGCCTTGAACTCATAGCTTCGCCTCCTCAAGTGCCGGGACAACTGGCCGGAGCCACTGTGGCTCCCTTCAGCACCATTTCTTAAAGACGAATATTCTTTCCCCACTGAATTGCCTTTGTATCTTTATCAAAAATAATTTGGCCACATATACATGGGTCTTTTTCTGAAATTTCCATTTTGTTACACTGATCTGTTCCTTATGCCAGTACTACACTGTTTTGAGTATATAGCTTTATCATTAGTTTTGAGATCAGGTAGTGTAAATCCTCCAATTTTGTTATTTTTCAGACTTGTTTTGTCTAATGTAGATCTTTTGGATTTCTGTAAAATTTTAGAATACAATTTCCTTCTTTAAAAAGCCTGTTGAGATTTTAATTAGGATTGTATGGAATCAACAGATCAATTTTGGAGAAAAACATTTTTAAATTATTGAGATTTTATAAACATACGTCATAACATGATAAATCTTTCCATTTATTTAGGTCTTCTTTAATTTCTCTTAGCAATGTTTCACAAGTCTTGCACATGCCAATTTTAGTCCTAAGTAATTGATATTTTTAATGCTATTGTAAATGATATTTTTAAAATTTCATTTTCTACCGTTTGTTGTTAGAACATAGTACAATTGAGTTTTGTATGTTGACTTTGTGTACTACAATATTGTTAAATCAATTTCTAGTTTCATTTTTTGTAGATTACATAGGATTTTCTACATACACAATCATGCTATCTGTGAATCATGATAGTCATCTTTTTGTCAGCATTATACAATTTTGGGTTTTTTGTTTTGTTTTGTTTTATTTCTTTCTATATTGCACTCACAAGGACTTTCAGTAAAATGCTGACTAGAAGTATTAAAAGTGAACATTCTTACCTTATTCTGATTTCAGTCTTCAAATGAGGCATGATATGATAACTGCAAGCTTTTCTTTTTCTTTTTTTTTTTTTTCCTGAGGTGGAGTTTCACTCTTGTTGCCCATGCTGGAGTGCAATGGCACTGTCTCAGCTCACTGCAACATCCACCTCCCAGGTCAAGCGATTCTCCTGCCTCAGCCTCCTGAGTAGCTGGGATTACAGGTGCCCACCACTATGCCCAGCTAACTTTTTGTATTTTTAGTAGAGACAGGGTTTTGCCATATTGGCCAGGCTGGTCTTGAACTCCTGACCTCAGGTGATCCACCCACCTTGGCCTCCCAAAGTGTTGGGATTACAGGCATGAGCCACTGCACCAGGCCAACTGCAAGATTTTCCTACACTTTTCTAAGATGACTTTTATCAAGCTGAGAACATTCCATTCTGTTCTTAATTTGCTGTTTGTTATTGTTGTTGTTGTTTTAACATGAATGGGTAGTGAACTTTGTGACAGAAACTATATGGCCTGGAAGACTAAAATATGTACACTCTGGCCCTTTAAGAAAAGGTTTCCAATCCCCTCTAAATAAGAATGTAAAGGATCCTTCAGCGCATAGCATGTATATCAGTTTGGGTCTAATCAAGAGACAGAAGTTACACAGAGACTATAAAACAGAAGGTGATTATAAAGGAGAAGGTTAATATGAAAATCATTAAACTATGATAAGAGGGAAGTATAAGATGTAAGGGAATGCTTCATGACACCATAGGGCTGAAGGAGAGCACCTAAAGAAGGATGAACTTGGAACTGGGGATCCCATCCACAAGGCTAGCATGCAGACCTTGTTAGAGCAAGTATAGTTGCAGCCCAGTGGTTGGCAGAGAAGTTTGCTGGATTGCACAGGCCAGAGCTGGTCTGCAGTTACTGAGCGAGTAGGAAGCAGCTCTCTCCTGGAGTGCAGGTGGGTTTGAGTAAGCCACAACCAGTGGTCATCCACATAGGTGTGCAGAGAAAATGGGAGTGCTCATGTGAATAGGAGCCTTGTAGCTGTGGTGTTTGTGATAGAAGAGCTGCAGCACCAGAAGGTTACAGCAGGCAAACCTGGGGGAAGTGGGCATGCAGAAGCAGAGGGATTTGGAGCATCAGTGCAGGCGGGAGGGCTGTGGCATGCAGGGTCCATGCTGCAAAAGCTGCAGAAAGATGACCTCCAGGCCAGGCTGGAGCTGGGAGATCATGAAGGGACCATGTGTGCCAGGCATGTGGCCAAGGCAGAGCACTACCAGACATTCTCCCACCCGTGTCATCCACCAGTGTTGCAGTCACTGGAAACCGCAAGGGGGCCCCTTCCTGCTCCAGTGCCACTCCAGCATCCTCTGCTGAGGAAGTTTAACATCATCCTTACTATAATATTCAAAGAAATTCTGTCCATTGTTGCTGAGCAGGTATTAAAGATACATTTGGAACTGGGAGACAATTAATTAATTGATAAATGATGTGGTATGGTTGAAGAATGAGGTTTCCTAAGAAATCAATATTCTTTTAGAAGATTCTGGAATGAAAGCGAAAAGCAGATTCGTTTTTTAATAGATGATGAACCTGATTCCTATGTTAAATTTAACTTTGTTCAAAGTTAAATAAATTTCAAGTGAACCTTTGTAGACTTTTTGTCAAAATAAACCCATATAAAGAGTATTAAATTGTATCAAGAATGAAAACACATGAGACCACCAAAAAGAGAGTAGTCATTATATACATAGTGGAATTATGCATTTTTTGGCTTTCAAATATTTGCAAGTCTCTAGAATAAGTATTATTGGAACTCAAAAAAAAAGGTGAGCAGACTAAAGAAAATATTTTCATAATATAAACCAGGAAAAAGCCTCTGTCGGTATGGTGCAAAAAGCTCATGAAAACTGAAAGAGAAAACATCAAAACTTTAATGTAAATGGGCAAAGGACATGAGTAGGTGATTCACAAAGAGGACACACAAGTAATAAATATACATAAGAAAACTGTCAACTTTACTACCTCTTGTTGAGATGCAAATTAAAGCTGTAATGGGATACTGTTTATGCATTAAATTTGGAAAAATAAAATAGAATCCTGGTAAAAATAAAATATGGTAGAACTGATAAATGGTTGATGGCAATACAAATTGTTTAAACTTCTCTTGAATTCAGATATTCATATCCCTAGGGTAATCCTACTGCTGAGACTATAACCGAAGGAAATAATTACCAAAAATAGAAGTTTTGATGCATGTGTTTACTGTAGTCATTTTTAAAAATGAAAAAGTGGGAACTAATTTAAATGTACATTAAAAAGGTCAACATTGGCATAGATCACCCTGTTAATTATGTAATTCATTTCACCAGGATCATGGCCAGTGACAGATGATTTGACCATGACCAAAAATCACTGGAAACTAATGCAGCACAATAGGCTATTTCTCAAGCTATAAAGCCTAATTAAAAGCAGAACAACAAAATTATATATTCACATCACTGTTAATATCCCTATGAACAAGAATGTGTGTATATGAATGAAAACTAGAAAGTTATACAATTTATTTATTAGATTGACTTTCTCATTTTTACTTTTGACAGGACCTTGCTCTGTCACCCAGGCTGTGTCATGATCATGGCTCACTGCAGCCTTGACTTTCTGGGCTCAAGCAATCTTCCCCTCTTAGCCTCCCAAGTATCTGGGAATACAAGTGCACCACCATGCCTACATAATTTTTTTTTAATTCTTTTTTTGTAGAGAAGTATTTCCCTATGTTGCCCAGGCTGGTCGCAAACTCCCAGACTCAAGTAATCCTCCTGCCTCGGTTTCCCAAAGTGCTGAGATTACAGGCGTGAGTGACCATACCCAGTTGATTTTTAAAGTTATATTATTACTAATATAGTGGTGCTTGTAAATTTGTTTAATTATGGCAACTAAAATGAAAATAATCCAGGTGCATTGACAGAGAGGAGCTGAGCAAGTCTCACCTCTCTTCTACATGATGTATTTCTATTAAGTCAGCCTTATTTCTCATTAGCTTTTTGCCAATTTTTGTGGAGACACATCACCCTGAGGCTTCACATCCTACCAAGCAGGGTCGGGTAAGCCACATCTCTTCTTCCTGGACTTGGGAGGACTGACTTTTTGGATACTGATACAGAACTTCACATTTGTTCCTGTTACATCTTTTCTTGACCTGTATATTTAGTGCATCATTGAAGGCTCTCAAGATTTTTTTGGATTCTGATTTACACTCCTTACTGACCATATATTCTGAGTGCATGTTAGCTATACATTCTATAAATCTGTATTCATATTAAAATATGCAGGACACTCCACATGTTCACTCAAGGCTGTGATAATGATGTTGACCTGAGCAGTACTGAGTCCCAGAGCATGTCATATCTATTAGCAAGCACTTTGATGCCATTCACATCACAATACACACAAAAAAAAAAGAAAAAAAAAGAAAGCCTTGCATCCAGCACACTTGGGCCATCTTAGCAATTAGTAAAGGTGATTGTCCTTCTTTTGTGAGTGAAAATGAAGGCTTTAGGCCTAAACAAAAGCTCAAGTGATTTCCCTGGGCCAAGACCAGGCTCAATTGTAACAGGGGCCAAGCTCGCCCTCAGTATTTAAGGTCTCATCTGTGCCCTTTCCCCCTGATATCACCCACCTCCTACTATGGCACCCATCCCATGGCATGCTCACTGGCCTGTAGGATCCTCAAATGTGCTCCTCAATCTTTCCTATCAGAATTTTTATTTGATTCTTTAGCCACACTCTATCTCCTGTAGCTATTTGCATTTTGAAAGCGATCGAAGTTTGAAAACAGAGAGATGACATTCCAGTGGTAGGACTTCAGGCATTGATGGTCAGATAGTAGAAATTTGGAGAGTGGGAAAGCTGGCACTGGGGTCTTATGGGCAGCCCCTACCTAGCCACTGTTTGCAAAGCTGACCTGAAAGAGACAGGGAGTCCCAGGGGACAAGCTAGATTAAATCCTATGGTCCACTGTCCTCTTCAGGCTCTTAATGGTTTTTGGTTAGAATTTTTAACTCTTCACATCTTGTTCATTAATTGAATTCAATTTTCCTTCTATTCTTCCAACTGCCAGGTAGGTGAGAGAATAGATGTCATCATCTTCATTGCCTGTGGGGAACCCAACTGTGTGAAATTTGCAATGCAAATTCCACAATATGGATGGTTTTGAGCCCAGACACAGGGATGCCTGAAAGAGGGAAGTTGAGATAACGTTGAGTCAGGGACAGACAAAGGAGAATCTGGTTAAAAGATAATCAGATGATTGAAACCAGAAACACCTGCAGTCATGAGGAACAATGTCTGGATAAGTTTTGTGATCACAAGGAATTTCCATTACCTTTTATGACCATTGATCATGTATCTGTCATCTTTATTGTGTAGGGCATGTGATGTATAGATCTGCTTTTCCCCTTGCAATGACGTAAGCATTTTTCCCCTGGAAAAATGTATATAATCCTAGCCTTTGAGAATTAAAGTTGCTGTTGGAGCACTGTCTCTCTCAGCCCTCCTGACCCTGCTGTCCTGTCTACTTTTCTTCCTGTGCACCCCCCACTCAGGTTAGAAACCTCTTGCTGGTTGAGAGTGCCCGCCAGACGTTGTGGCCCGTACAGGGAGCCTGAGATAGGGGATTTCTGTGACACTTAAGTGAGTGGCGATCACAGTAAGTAACAAAGTTTTAAGGAATATTATAAATACAAGAATCAAGAATTTTCTTTTGTAAATACAAGAAGTTTGTGAGTAAAATTAATCAGGAGTAAAAATGGGGCAACTTGAATCGAAGCAACATAAGTTGTTTGTACATTTATTACATTCTATGATTAAAACTAGATTGCCTGAGAAGAAAGCAGGCAGAGTGGACTTTAAAGACTGAAAACAACTGCTTTTCCCCAGCTTGGGGCCTCCTCGCCCTGAAACTTTATACTGACTGACAGAATTCCTTCAGGAAAAATGGATGCATCCTTGCTTCTCATGTAAACCTTGCCTGTCTCCTCATAAATATTTTATTTCCCAAAAGCCATTCCTACAAATTGCCTTATCATTTACCAAGGATCTAGACCATCTGCCAAAGCAAGTTCACACAACCCACCTTGCTGATAACTGGGTTTATCTCTGTATTTCTGTGAATCATCTGTTAGTCTGGCTTATCTACTTATCAGATTGTGTGTTCTTTAACACACTGGACACCATATGGCCCCCAGCAGAAACGGCAGTCCTGTTGCCTACCTATGGGCACTATTTATGTGCCTTGCAATGCTGACTATAAAATATCAGGTCCCTAGTAAATCTAAAATTTGTTTGGACTGGGAAGATTTTAGATAATTAGAAGCAAAAATTTAGTTCCTTCCACCCCTGTTTTTAAAGCAATGTGTACAATGTGCATACAGAATAAACAAATAGCAAATTGTTTATTTACACAGTGAAACTGAATGAACTACAGCTATAAGCAACATCTCTGAATCTTACTAACCTAATATTGATTGACAAAAGCAAATCCCAGGAGACTATATAGACATCACATTGTTTCTCAGTTTCAAAAACAATTAAAGCTAAATGTCATTGAAGAGTCCCCGAGCCACACATGTACACGCTTATGCTCAGACTCAATCCTTCTGGGCCTGGCTCATATTTTCCTTTCATTTCCTGGCATCCAAATTCACAGGCGGATAGAATTGATCTCTTCAGTTTCCCTGACTCCAGACTTCCTCAGCTCCTGGGTGCCACTCTTCCCCACAGACCCCTCCCCACTTCCTTAGTGTCCTGGCTGAGGCTGAAGCACTTAGCATTCATCTGGTCCCCACTCCCTTCCTCCCACTCTCACCTGCTCTGTCAGAAAGAGGAAATGGTGCCTTCTCCATAGCTCTCTTCTTCCGGTGGTCTCCCTATTCTGGCAAAAGACTTTGGGTTTCTCAGGATCATTCTCCTGGGTCTCTTAGTGCCGTGGGCTTTTAGAACATCCCACTAATTTGTTCAGATGCTGCTGTATCCTGTATCTTCACAAAAACTTGCTGTCTCTTCCACACTTGATCATGCCTCAGTTGAAGCTTGAGCAATGATCAGAAATGTCCCCAGAGGCCACTGCACTGAGTGAGCCTTGGGCCAAATCTGGACCCTCCATCCTGGCAGTGTAGGATCTTGCATATCGATGCCTTTTGCAGGCAAATTCACAGATACATCCCCATTCAGTCTCTTTTCTATTCATTTCCAGTCTCCATTCACCTGTTTCCACCTTTCAGACACCCTGAAGTTCTTCAATAATAAGTATTGCCACAGACATCATTTCCTAAGGACCAACTATGTGCCCATTTTTGTGCTAAATATTCTATCTCATTTCATCACACTCGGGGTACTTCTCCATTTCATGATTAATTCTGTAAGTCTTGTTTTCCCTTTCAAATCTTAGGAATAGTGTGCATTTCAGAAACAAGTCCAAAGGGATTTTTCATTTTTCAGGATGATGCCTTAAAATGATCTCATGATCACTACTATTTTCTCCAAAATCAGGATTTAAGATTTTTTGAAGCTCTGAAATGTTTCCAGACAACAGAAGATAATCATCTGTTTCCAGTCTTTCCTGAGGACAAGTCAGCAGGAAACAGCTTTACCTTGTTGCATAAATTCATGAGATTAGAAGAAACAAAGCATTTCCTGACAATGAGAACTATAAAACATTGCACATAATAACTGAGGCACATGTAGATTCCCTGGAATAAGGATACTGAAGTCCTGGATGAGGCAAAGTCTCGTTGATTATATTTTCTCTTACGTTGAATTAATTTCGTATTCCCTTCAGAAGCCCAAATGATAAAACAAGAATTCTCCTCTCCTCCAACTTCTGTTGTTTCAGCTTCCTTTTGTTGATTCACCACTTCCGCTTATTTGCTCTTCCACTACTAGAATCCCTTGAATCTGAACAACTAAACCTGACTTTTCTTTGGGGGAAAATTAGTCCAAGTTTTATTTCACCTCCTTAAGATATGTATGGTGTGAGCCATTCTAATTCTTTACATCTTCAGTGAAGAGTATGCAGTTCATCTCTCCCTTCAAGTATTGTGTAAACTCGATAAACTTAAGCCTTGTAAAGATAATGTCTTCAGTGAACAGGCGATTTGCTAAGAGGAAATGCCATGAACTCCAAGTCCTCAGTGAAGTTCTAGTTAGCTGGCTTTTGTGGAGTTTCTTCCCATGAGGGTTATCAGTCATGAAAGCCTGGAACCCAAGAGGCTGTCTTGAGACTTGTCCCAGGCAAGGAGGCTTTGGTTCCTCCCAGGACCTGCTCCTATGATCCAGAACGACAGTGTGCAGCTGCCAGTGAGGGAGAGGCGGGATTCCGTCTTCATCCTTCATGGAGAAGTGTGTTCTTGGACGTACACCTTCCTGGAGAAAAGTGAGTTTTAGTAAATAAAGTTATTTTCTCCCAAAAGAGCTTAATTTCCTTGGGCTTCAATAGAAGATAAGGATTACTAGCTGGATTGGTGGGTTTTAATTTTTAGTTTAAGAAATCTGGTGTTACTTGATGTGATAGAAGGAAATAAAAACCCTGCAGGGAGAATACACATTGTCCCAAAGAGTTTCTAACGTCTTCCCTAAGATAGTAAAAAAGTCCGAGTGTGTGTGTGTGTGTGTGTCCATCTTTAAACTTCAAACTCCCAGATCTCTGCTGCGTACTCATTCAGTGTGGATTACACTACCAGCAAAACATTCCAGGAAGGAGTCCAGAATGGCCGTCTGCAGTTCCCAGAGAACCCAGAATGGAAGGACGGACTTGTTTGCTTTCTTGCCCCTGACTCTCCCCCTCTTCCCTGGGAGGGCTGGGGATGTGAACGAGTGGCTTCTGCCTCTTTCGGACCGCCTTTGAGGCTCCGTATCCTCACCTGACTTTCCCACGGAGAGGGAGGCCACAGGCTCCTTCCGTCGTCCCCAGCACAGTCCTGGGCCGGGAGCGCGGGGGAGGGAGCGAACGGAGCTGCGCCCAGGAGGCTGCGGGAGGAGGCGCTCCGTAGACCCCGGCGCGCCGCGGAGAAGCTCAAACTTTGGTAGGGTAAGGCTTTTAGGGGCTCTTGAGCTGGGAGTTTTGGGGGGCGCCGGGAGGTGTGCTGGAGGCGCAGACCCCAGACAGGAGGCGAATTAGAGAACCGCGAGCCGGGGAGCGAGGCGGCTGCGTGAAGGGGCGGGCGCGGCGCTGTTCGCAGCCCCCGGTGCTGAAACGGGCCGCAGGTTGGAGAGAAAGTGAAAACTTAGCTTCCACCCCCGGCTTCCACACCCCTCCAGTCCAGTTCAAAGGACAGGAAACCGTCCCCGTTCTCCCCAAGCCGATCGCACCCCCTTTTACTCACGTCCCGCAGCCGCGCTGGGCCGAGCCCGCTGAGCCGTCGGGGCGAGGCAGAAGGAGCAGGGCTGGCTCCCGCTGGGGACGGGCAGGGCGCCCAGCGGCGACCCCACCTCCTGACATCTCCTCCGGCCACGCTCCCCTCGGAGGCGGCGCCCCGGGCCTCCAGGACTGCCAGACCCTGAAGGACCCTCTCCCCTGGCTCCAAGTCGGGGACGGGCGTCGTGTCTCCTTGAGTCCGCGTTGCACTAGGGGAAGTTGAGTCAGTGGCCCGGAGGGAGCAGGGCCCGGGAGGGCAGCGACGAAGGACTGGCCCCCAACCCAAGGGACTATTCAGCCTTGGGGATTCAAAGAGACTAGTGGGCTGAGGAGGAGGCGAGAATTAAAATTCTTGGAGGAGTGCACGGTTACTTTTTTTAATGATAAAATCACACCCGGGATCTTGGACGCCCGGGGCTTAGTGTCTTTGTTGGAGGAGAAGGCGCGGCGGGCTCTCTGATCCTCTGCAATCCCCTAACCGGATAAAGGTGCCAGGCTCCCGGCCCTCAGGCTTTCTCCTCCACTCAACCCCTGGCCCCTCCCGACGCCCATAGGGGGCTGGGCCTGAAGGCCCTCACACTCCCTCAAGCCCGGGCCTGGTGATTCATTATATTGCTGTGTGGACACGGGGTCCAATTTACAGCGTGCGAGAATTCATGGGGGACGCGGGTGGTTGGGCCGGGAGAAGAGAGATGATCACTCGTGCATGCTATCCACAAACTGGGTCTTCTACGCCAAACTCCCAGTTGTGGGAAAGTTGGCCAGGTCGGAGGACCCAAATGGGATTTCACTGAGCAAGTGGGAGCTTCTTTGGGTTCTTTGGGGTAGCGGGGAGCACAGGAACTCCCCCTGCTTCTCACCAAGGCCCAGACACCCGCACTTCCTCTTTGGCCTTCGTTTAGCCACAGAGGGGGGGCTTTCCCCGGTGCAGATGCCGGGAGAGGAGGAGCGGTGGCTCTTGAGGTGACTGGCTGGTCGGTGCAGGATCTTAATCACTTTAGCTGGGACTTTGGTCGTGACTACGTGTGCACTTGCCTTTGATGCTCCTGTTTTTATGTGTTTTCTGTCCTCATTCAATATCTGCTAGCGGTGGCTGCTTCTGGTTGAGATTGCCATGGCGACCAGTCTCTAGTCGCCATGGTACCCAGAAGGTAAACAGTTGGAAGCTACTCAGGCTCTTCTCCCGCTCTGGCTGCCAGTTTCCTGAGGGAGTGGGGCCAGGACGGCAGTGACCAGGTTCCAGAACCCTTTTTCGTCCCCACCCTCCCCTGCCTCCCCGCTTCCCACAGCGTCCTGCTTACCTGAAACCCCTGCTAATTTCCCACCAACCACTGTGGCCTCAAGGTTAAAATGGGCCGTGCTTTTTTTCTCTGTCTCCCAGTTATATTCACTTAGGCCAGGGGTAAACAGTTTCCCCTCTGACCTAATGCATTTTGGTAGCACTCTGACTATTCCTGAGTACAGAGGACAAGGCTGAGTCCGGTAGGAGAAACAGAATTTCAAACAGACACAGTCCCTGCCCTCTGGGACCTCACAGTGTAGTGTGGCAGACAAATCCTTGTGCAACCTACCAGGTGGCCTGTGCTCTGGGTGTGAATGGAAGTGATAACAGAGCCCTGAGAGTAGAGAAAGGTGGGAGTGACTGACTCCTGATCAGGGAGGGCCTCCTGGTGAGATTATGTTACAGTTGGAACTTGAAATCAACTGGCCAGGAAGAGAGGAAATCTCTCTAGGCAGAAGCAAGGATGTATGGATTAGTCAGGAGAGGGTAGGCCTGCTATGGTGATGTATAGACTTGGAACATCTCTCTGGCTTTACCCTTTTCTTATGCAATGTCTGAGGTTGTGAGTTTTGGGGGTCCTGCATCGTGGGGATAGTCCACTGGCCAGAACCTGTCACTCAGCCTTCACCTGGCCTAGAAGGGAGGCTGGAAAATGTAGGAGTCACAGAATGAGCTTTGGTGAGTACTGTCCCTGCCAGTAGGTGGGAGCAAAAAAATGTATGACACACATAAGGAAAGGGTGAGTAATTTGGCTTAGATGAGCATCCAGTTTAGGCTGACTTGATCCAGATTATGAAAAGTCTTGACCATCAGGCTAGGAAATGGAGACTGTGTGCTGGAGAAAATAGGCACCTCTTAAAGCTTCTGAGAAGAGTGACGTGATTAGAACTACCTTTCAGAAAGATTCTGGGATCACTATGGAAAGTTCATTCATTTACACATTTATTCATTCTACACTCATTGAGCACCTCCCTAGGGCCAGGGACTGGATGGATTGTAGGAGTGAGAGGCTGAAGAAGAGAAATGAGCAAAGATCATTATTTCAGCCATCCTGGGGACAGAGAAAGACCTGGACAAAGAGAGGAACGGAGCTCAAAGAGGCCAGGGGCTACCTCTGTTCTGGTTCGACACTTATACACTTGCTGTCTAGCAAAGACCCTGGCACAGGGTGAGTGCTCAGTCCATTTCTGAATTAGTAAATAGAAGAGTTGGAGAAGACAAGGAAGAGAGATAGCTGTTGCTGTGACTGGCGAGACTTGATGATGCTGGATCTGAGGCAGTAAGAGAGAGGAAGGAGTAGATGCTCATTTCACCGGGTGGTCGGTTGGCTCTGGGTGTTGCTCATGGCATTAACCAAGACAGTACTGCAGGGAGAAAGAGCATGCTTGACAGTAGTTGAGGGAGAGACTGATTCCATCCAGAACAGTTTTGCTCCAAGGAAAACTCTTCCCTGAACGTGCTGCACACCTCACTCGACCTGTACCCCAGAACTCATCTAATCCCCAGAGTGTTTCTTTTGTCCTCCTTTGCAGGATTCATACATTTCTTCTTAAATTATAGTAATGCAGTGTAACAGCTAAAGTTAAACTGGCTTATGCCCGCCAGCTCTACCACTGGATGACTTTGAACCAAGATATTTAATCATTCTGAGTCTCAGCTTCTTGGTGTGTACATTGGAAATAGTAATACTTATAATACCTGCCTCATCAAGTTGTTGGAGGGATTAAATGAAGTAATTGAACTGAATTCCTCAGCTATCGGCGTAAGTGCTCAAAGTTAGATATGAACATCTTATTACTTCCTAATAAAATAAAAGCAATGTATTACTTTTATAATCACACCACAAAAGTTAATTAAGAAAAAAAAAAAAAACTCTTTACCTCCCATGCTTGCAGTTAGGTTTGGAGCATCTATGGGGCTGGCTATAGAGAGCTCTGGTTCCCCAACTCTGGCAAGGTCAGAAAAGCACTTTCATCCTCTTGCAATCTCAACCTGAACAGCCGAATCTTACTACAAAGCAGCAATTTCAAAACTGAGCATGCTCAGTGCTGAGGAACTCAGAAGCCCATTAATTCTGAATCATCTCTGCAGAGACCAGGACACTTTCTAGGGAGGAGACAAGCCCCTGCCTCTTGGTTAAGTAACATAATTGATCATCTTGATCCATTTTCAGTACATTTTCTTTTACCCCAAAATTTCTTCCTGTTCTTTTTTTTCTTTCTTTCTTTTTTTCTTTTTTTGAGACAGAGTTTCACTCTTGTTACCCAGGCTGGAGTGCAATGGCGCAATCTCAGCTCACCACAACCTCCACTTCCTGGGTTCAGGCAATTCTCCTGCCTCAGCCTCCTGAGTAGCTAAGATTACAGGCATGCGCCACCAGGCCCAGCTAATTTTTTGCATTTTTAGTAGAGACAGGGTTTCACCATTTTGACCAGGATGATCTCAATCTCCTAACCTTGTGATCCACCCGCCTTGGCCTCCCAAAGTGCTGGGATTACAGGCTTGAGCCACTGCACGGCTGTTCTTGAGAACAATGTTAACTTTCTCCTCAGACAGGAATTAAAAATTTGCAGCTGACATTTGGAAGATTCCCTTTTCTCATGTTATAAAAATGCCAGAATTCAGAGAGAAAGATCTCTACCTTCCAGCCATGAGGTTTCTTTGGGAAAGAAGACTCAACTCTCCTAAGTCAGACTCATTACCTCCATCATGGTGCAGGAACATTGATGGGTTTGGGGCAGCTTCCATAGAGTCGGGGGAATTGGATTCTGACCCTCCCTCATCTCCCCTCACCACCTTGAAGCTCAACCCTGAGCACGACTGGATACACCCTTGTTGTCTAAGACTTGAGCTGCCTTTCAGGGACCTTTCTTGGGTGGGTGGAGAAAACTTTAATACTTACTGGTGCCAGAGTTGGCCTTGTTTCTTGAGAGGCAAGGGATTAAAAGCTTGCAGGCTGTACAATTAGATTGCCTGTTGAAGTCCTGGCTGTATGAACTGTGTACCTCAGTTTGTTCCTCTGTATAATGGGGATAATATGGTTTGGCTGTGTCACCACCCAAATCTTATCTTGAATTCCCACGTGTTTTGGGAGGGACCCAGTGGGAGATAATTGAATCATGGGGACAGGCCTTTCTCATACTGTTTTCGTGATGGTAAATGAATCTCATGAGATCTGATGGCTCTATAAGGGGGAGTTTCCCTGCACAAGCTCTCTCTCTTTGCTGCTGCCATCCATGTAAGACGTGACTTGCTCTTCCTTCCACCATGATTGTGAGGCCTTCCCAGCCATGTGGAACTGTAAGTTCATTAAACTTCTTTCTTTTGTAAATTACCCAGTTTCAGGTATGTCTTTATCAGCAGCATGAAAACAGATTAATACAGGGGATAAGAATAATACTTACCTCATAGAGTTATTGAAAAGATTAAATGAGCTGATACATGTAAAAAGCTACAGAGCAGTGACTGGTATAATGTAAGCCCTGCAAAATGTTATGATCATTATTATTAATGTCATATTATGGCATTTCTCTCCATTTCGTGAGTTCCTTGTAGCTGATATTGTGAGTTTTGAATTTTAAAAAGTGTTTTGATTTTAGATTTAAGATGATTTCTTTTTTGACATAATTTACATGCCACAAATGTCACCCATTTAAAATGTGCATTTCACTGGTTTTTAGTATATTCATAGTTATGCAATCATCACCACATTATAATCTTAGAACTTTTCAACATCCTCAAAAGAGACCCTGTATCCATTAGCAGTCATTTCTTTTTCTCATTCCTCCACTCCTGCCCTAGGCAACCTCTACTCTACTTTCTGTCTGTATGGATTTGCCTATTCTGGACATTTCATGTACATGAAATTATATAATATGTGGTTCCTTTTGTCTGGCTTCTTCTACTTAGCACAATATTTTCAGTGTTCACCCCACTGTAGCATGTATCACTGTTTTATTCATTTCTATTGTCAAATAAGATTCCATCTGAATAACATTCCATTATGTAGACATACCACATTTTGTTTATCCATTTATCAGTGGATAGGCCCTAATAAATGATTGTCATTTCCACTTGGGGTTATTGTAAATAATGCTGCTATGAACATTCATGTACAAGTTGTAGTGTGGACATGTTTTTATTTCTCTTAGCAGTGGAATTCCTGGGTCATATGGTAACTGATGTTTAACATTTTGAGGAATTGCTCAGCTGTTCTCCAAAGTGGCTACATCATTTACATTCCCACCAGCAATGAATGAGGCTTCCAGCTTTTCCAAATCACACTGTGGAAAATGGTTAATTTTATGTATCAACTTGCCTGGGATACAGGGTGCCCAGATAAAACATTATTTCTGGGAGTGTCTGTGAGCGAGTTTCCAGATGAGATTAGTATTTGAATCCATGGATTGGACAAAGCAGATTGCCCTCCCCAATGTTGGTGGCCACTATTCAATCCATTGAGAGCCTGAGTAGAATAAAATGTAGAGGAAAGGGGAATTCACTCTTTGAACTGGGACATGATCAGTTTCCTGCCCTCTATTGGCCCTCTGGTTCTCAGAACTGCACCACTAGCTTTTCTGGCCTCCAACTTACAGACAGCAGTTCATGGGCTTCTCGGCCTCTAATTCTTTATAGCAAATCATATGTATATAGAGTTGACCCCTGAGCAATGCACGGATTAGGGGTGCTGATCCCTGACACAGTCAAAAATCCATGTATAACTCTGTGGCTTCTTCAAAACTTATTTACTAATAACCTACTGTTGATCACAAGCCTTACCTATAACAGAAATAGCCAATTAACATATATTTTATACATTCTATATATTATGGACTGTATTCTAACAAATAGAGTAAGCAAGAAAAAATGGGGCTTTTCAATTTGCAACATATCTCCAAAAATTCTCCAATATATTTATTGAAAGAAAAACATGTAGAAGTGGACCTGTACAGTTCAAACCCATGCTGTTCAAGGATCAACTCTCTATATATCCTATTGTTTTTGCTTCCATGGAGAACCCTAACTAATATACTCACTAACACTTGTTATGGTAATATTAACATTATATAGTTTGTTCTTTCTGTTTTTGAAGCTCTGTAATATTTTTTATTTCCTCCACATAGGTTTATATTCACACATAAAAAATGAGAGGATGCTCAAGTATAATATTTGCGTTGTAGGGTTTTGTTATTTCATGGAACTTCTGGAATGGAAGGACCCTTTATACTTATCCTACTCAATGTTGAGTAGTCATCCCTCAGTAACTGAGGGGCATTGGTTCTAGGACCTATCCACAATACCAAAGTTTAACAGATGCTGAAGTCCCTTATACAAAATGGCATAGTATTTGTATTAGGTTAGTACAAAAGTAATTGCAGTTTTTGTAATTGCCAATCTAATAAATAGCCTACTGCATTAGTGCAGTCTTGCTTTTTAAAAATTTACTTGTTATACTTTAAGTTCTGGGGTACATGTGCAGATCATTCAGGTTTGTTACATAGGTATACACATGCCATGGTAGTGGTTTGCTGCATCTACATTAGGTATTTCTCCTAATGCTATCCCTCCCCAATCCCCTCACCCCCTGCTATTCCTCCCATAGCTCCTCACACCCCCCGTGTGTGATGTTTCCCTCCCTGTGCCCATGTGTTCTCATTATTCAACACCCACTTATGAGTGAGAATATGCGGTGTTTGGTTTTCTGTTCTTGTGTCAGTTTGCTGAGAATGATGGTTTCCAGTTTCATCCATGTCCCCACAAAGGACATTAACTCATCCTTTTTATGGCTGCATAGTATTCCATGGTGTATACATGTCACATTTTCTTTATCCAGTCTATCTTGATGGGCATTTGGGTTGGTTCCAGGTCTTTGCTATTGTGAACAGTGCTGCAATAAACATACGTGTGCATGTGTCTTTATAACAGAGTGATTTATAATCCTTTGGGTATATACCCAGTAATGGGATTGCTGGGTCAAGTGGTATTTCTATTTCTAGATCCTTAAGGAATCGCCACACTGTCTTCCACAGTGGTTGAATTAATTTACACTCCTATTTCTCTACATCCTCTCCAGCATCTGTTGTCTCCTGATTTTTTAATGATGGTCATTCTGACTAGTGTGAAGTGGTATCTCAATGTGGTTTTAATTTGCATTTCTCTAATGACCAGCGATGATTAGCTTTTTTTTCTTATGTTTGTTGGCTGCATAAATGTCTTCTTTTGAAAATTGTCTGTTCATATCCATTGCCCATTTTTTGATGTTTTTTTTTTCTTGTAAACTTGTTTCTTTGTAGATTCTAGATATTAGCCCTTTGTCAGATGGGTAAATTGCAAAAATTTTTTCCCATACTGTTGGTTGCCGGTTCTCTCTATTGATAGTTTGTTTCACTGTGCAGAAGCTCTTAAGTTTAATTAGATCCCATTTGTCGATTTTGGCTTTTACTGCCATTGCTTTTGATGTTTTAGTCATGAGTCCTTGCCCATGCCTATGTCCTGAATGGTATTGCATAGGTTTTCTTCAGAGTTTTTATGGTGTTAGGCTTCATGTTTAAATCTTTAATCCATCTGAAGTTAATTTTTGTATAAGGTATAAGGAAGGGATCCAGTTTCTTCTTTCTGCATATGGCTAGCCAGTTTCCCAACACCATTTATTAAATAGGGAATCCTTTCCCCATTGCTTGTTTTTGTCTGGCTTGTCAAAGATCAGGTGGTTGTAGTTGTGTGACATTCTTCCTGAGGCCTCTGTTTTGTTCCACTGGTCTATATCTCTGTCTTAGTTCAGTCTTGTAATGCTATAAAGAAATGCCTGTGAACTGGGTAATTTATAAAGAAAAGAGGTTTACTCAGCTCATAGTTCTGCAGGAAGCATTATGCTGGCATCTGCTCAGCTTCTTGGGAAGCCTCAGGAAACTTATAATCATGATGGAAGGCAGAGGGGGAGCATGTACCTCATGGCAGGAGTAGAAGGAGCAAGCAGGGGAGGTGCCACACACTTGTAAATGACCAGAACTCACGAAAACTCACTCACTGTCATGAGAACAACACCGAGAGGACGGTGCTAAATAATTCAATAGAAATCCACCTTTATGAACCAATTACTCCTGCCAGGCCCCACTTCCAACATTTGGGGATTACAACTGAACATGAGATTTGAGAGGGGACACAGATCCAAAACATTCACCTACATATAACCTCCTGCGTACTGTACTTTAAATTATCTCTAGATTACTTATAGTTGTACCTAAGACAGTGTAAATGCTATATATAGCACCTATTTAGTTGTTATGCTGTATTGTTTTTATTTATTTTTGATGTTGTATTGTTATTCTTTGTTATTTTTGGTTTTTTCAAATATTTTCAATCTGCGATTGGTTGAATCTGCAGATGCAGAACGTGCAGATGAGAGAGCCAATTGTAGTATGTCATTGTGCTTTTGATTTGCATTTCCTTCATGACTAAATACATGAAGAATGTTAGCATGTGCTTCTTAGCCATTATGTATCTTCTTCGGATAAATGTCTGTTCAAATCCTTTGCCTACTTTTTAATAGAGTTGACTTTTTATTATTAAGTTATAAGAGTTGTTTATATCTTTTCCTCACCAATATACAACTTAAAAATATAATTCCAGCACTTTGGGAGGCTGAGGCAGGAGGATCATTTGAGCCTAGAAGTTTGAGACCAGCGTGGGAAACATAGAGAGACACCATCTCTATACAAAATTTTAAAATAGCTTGGAATGGCGGCGTGCACCTGTGGTCCCAGCTACTCAGGAGGCCAAAGTT